CCCCCCTCTTCTGCTAGAGAGATTACTGCCTTTGGTGATTTACAGGCTCAAGGAGAATGATAAGGATGAAAGCTATACACACTTTTTTCATCTCACCCCATAATTTAGGCAGAGTGAGGTCAGCTGCCTTTTAAGCCTGAAACCATTTGGAACAGACTCAAAACTATAACATTAGCCAAAAAGGTCTAACTCAACACAAGAGTCACCATTCAAGTACAAAGAAATGACTCAGCAAAGCTGAATCTCAGCTATTTTTGAAAAATACTGCAGATAAGAGAGAGTTCATATGCACTGCTAATACCCTGCTAGTCATTAAATAAAAATATCCATACTCAGCCAAAGCAAAAGTCATGTCTTCCTATGTTTCCCTTCTCTGACTGTCGGCAATGGTGTACACATCAAGGAAAAAGCTAAGAACAGGCAGGCACCGATAATATTTTCCTGGTATGATTTTCCAGTCTCCAGTCATCTCAGACATACTAAATCATAAGATCATAGAATTGTTAAGGTTGGAAAAGACCTCAAGGATCATCAAGTCCAACCGTCAACCCAAGACCACCTAACCCACCTAACTAAAGCTGAAGATCCTGAGGGAAGTGAGGAGGAGTGCAGCAGACGAAACAACCCTGGAGTTCAGAAGAAGAAACTCCAGCTTGTTCAGAGCTCTGGTAGGCAAAATCCCTTGGAAGCTGCCTTTTGGGGCATAGGAGGAGAGGCGGCCAATCTTAAAGTACAAGTTTCTCAAGCCAGAACAATTCTGATGCGCTAGTAAAGATGCAAGCATGGGAGGAGGCTAACTTGGATGAACTCAGAACTGCTGACTGAGATCAAACACAAATCAAAGTGTACAGGATGTGGAAGTAGGATCAGACGACCAAGGAGGAACATAGAAGTACTACCTAGGCTTTCAGAGATAAAACTAAGAAAGTCAAAGCTCAAGTGTATTTGCAACTGGCAATGGATGCGAAAGGCAACAAAGCTTTCCAGGGGTACACCAACCGCAAAAGAGAGGCAAAGGAAAGTGTGCCTCCACTGCTGAACATATGATCTAGTAACAAAGGAAAGGCTGAGGTACTCCTCTCCTTCAGTCTTCAAGGGCAAGATCTACTCCCTGGATGCCCAGATCTCTGTGCCTGGTAGTACAGTTTGGGGAAAAGAGGAATTACCCACAATACAGGAAGATCAAGTTAAGACACACTGGATAAAAGGCGGTCTCCTTTGCTTTGACTTATTCCTGCCTTGTCTCCCTCCTGTTTCATTTCTCCACATGATCATAAGGATCACAATATGTAATTTAGATATAATACCAAATTAAGAGGGAGAGGGCAAAAACATTTTACTTGATTCTTCTCTGATCCGCACAGTTAAGCCTTTATTTCTTCTCACATACATGCATGTCTGTCCTCTCACTTGTCTCAAAACTCAGCTCAGGAGTGCTGCAAAAGGGATATCTAAACATTCACTGGAGCCATAAAGCACTGGGAAGACATTACACAGCTCCAGTTGCACAGGACCAAGAATAAGTGTAATCATGAAGAAAAAGGATCGGTACTGGTGTCACTGGAGCAGCTGCATGACTATGGATAAAAAGGGAAGGTAATAAGGTAATAGGTATACTACTAAGCTATATGGTGAGAACTGATATTTCAGATCCTTACTTACAGGAAAAGAAAGCCTATAATAGGACAAAATGGAGGAGGGTGGTGGTGGGGTTTGGGTTTTGTTTGTTTGTTTTGTAAAGAGCCATTACGCTGGTACAATAGTCTTCACAGGAAGAAATTAATATCCCTGATGTCAGCTGATATGGTTGAATACAAAGAAGAACTATTTAGGTAATTACACACACAGAAAAACACACTAAGAATTTAGATCAGCAACCCTGGCACACAAACAACATGAAGCAGAGCTCACAGAAACCTTTAGCTTCCAGTAGAGACACGTAGCTTAATTATGACTTACATTGTACATACTCAGTAATTCACTGGTGTCTTTTATAGCACCTCTTTCTGCTATTAGTATTCTCCCAAAAATAACTGCAGTAAAAGCAGCCTGAATTAAAACCTTCCTGATTATTACAGCATTGCATTTATAAAGCAGCCTTAATCCAGAAATGGCTCTAACACTTCAAAACTCTTACCAGATAAAGGTTATCTTTCTTAGAACATGTCACTATAATTAAGGCAGGTCCTACTGACTAGTACAGTAGCTCCAGACTTATCATTGCAAGATCCAGTTTTAATTTACCCAACTAATGACGGAGACCAAAAATTTACATGCTCTGGAAGTGCCTAAGGCTTACTCGTCTTCGAATGCTTACAGGCAAAATGTTTACCATGTTCAATTGTATCTGGCTGTGGGTAACACTTATGTCATAGCTTTATCTTCTTCCTTCCGACAATCTACTGAAATTTGAGCATTCATACTGTTTCTCAACATGGCAAACCACAGGACACGTAACATTCTACAACAAAACTGGAGACTAAGCCTATCACAAAAAAACAGAATGTCTCAGAAATTCAGTGGGTTGCAGGAAAGATCAAGACTGTGATCAACATCTTGAATCTCTGCAAGGGAACTTACTAAGTGAAAACAAGTCATTGATTAGAGGTAATCGATCTTCCCCTGTGCTAACAGAAAACAACAAAACCCAATGATTTCAAGTGCTTGTATCAGTTTGAATTCAGAGAAAAGTTTTTCCAGTTTCAATTGTGCTAATCAATTTAATCTGTTTATATGAAGATGACAGACCAGCCAAGAACTTTAGAGAAGTCCAGTGCTGCATTGCCCAAGCACACACATCAGTAGCAAATGAAAATGCAAATCAGTAGCAAATGAAAAATGCAAAACTTTTCATCATTTTTCTACAGCAAACAGCTTTTGTGCCTGGTAAAATAGTGTCTATTATGACAATCTTATATGGCTGACTTTGTCCACTCAGAATGCTGTTACAGCATACTTAACAACATATGGTATAAGTAAGGCTGTCAAAGTGGATTCCAAACAGGCAAAGGAAACCAAGGGAAAGTAACTTCTGAGGCAACTAAAAAAAGCACTGGGGAAGGTGACAATGTCTGTAGAACACTACAGAAGTTATAGAGTGCTTCTATATTAGTTATAGAGCTGAACAGGATTTCTCTTAGGTCTTTCACCTTACTATATGAATAAATAAGAAAAGGATCCCAACTTAAGACAACTGATAACTAGAGTAACATATTTAACGAGGATAACTCTGCGTTTACAGAACAGCTTTAAAAACTATTTTAGTTAAGAAGAAAAATAAATGACAGTATTTTCTGAAATTTGATCCTTATCATGAAAATGGTTAGCTATGGATGAAGAGAATGACAATATCCTGAATGCTCCACCTCATTTATCCTCAAGTGCCATACCTACATTAAATTTAACACACATAGTGCAATTAAGTTATAAGTGACACAACAGGTAAGAGCAATTATTCTCCAGGTTCATACTTCTCAATTGTCTCTTTAAAGAGTGTGAGCTAGACCATAAGACTGGCCCTGGCTATAGAGTTAGTTAAATATAAACTATGCTTACAAACTCCAGAAGAAAAAAAAATAGTATTAAAATTCATTACAGTTTGCACCACAATCATTCAAAAGCACAGCATGCAGAACAGGACAGAACCCCATCATAAAATTACCCATAGTACATCAGAAGGTAAATAATTTCAACTTGATATGCTACAACTAAGTTTCAGTCTTTTTTAAAGTGTGTGACACTGCTAGCAGTAAAAATATTTTTTCAAATACCAAACATTAGCTTAAACAGTTGTCCTTACCACTGAAAGGTGTTAATTCGTACTCTGTTCTTAAAAATTAGTATTCCACCTGACATCACTCCAATCATTATTTCATTATTACTCTGATCCTTTAAAAGAAAAGAGAACATTACTTGAAGAACAATATAAATATCTTTGAAACTTCATATATATTCATTCTCATCTCTCTCTAAATACACAAATATCATAGTAAAACAGACCTCAATTAACATGGAAGGAAATTTGTTTTGATAGGACAAGTAAGAATTAAATTATTCATTCCTAGTTAGGACAAGCCCAAATGATTGATCTGAGTTCTCTGTAAGATACCACAGAATTTTAATTTCTTAATTAAACCAACTTCAAAGAAATACACAATATAGAGTATTCTAGCAGTTTATTACAAATAACAGCACTAACAGACTGGCTTGACATTTGCTACACTAAAAGCAACCAGCAACTTAAATTCCTACCTGAAAGGAAATTGCAATCTCAGAACACAGAGAGGACAGATTCTAAAACAAATAATATTATAAGCATATTTAAATAGCACATTTTTCCTGAAATATCTTTGCACTCTAATCGAACACCTGCTACAGATCTCTCAATATGTGTGCAACAGCAGGATACAGAGAGCAGTGAAGTGGGATACATTTCAAATTCTATTGCAAGTTTCCCTAACCTTAGGGAGTAGGACAATATTTAAAAAACAGAGGCGTCTTAGTTACTACAAATAATTATATTCTGAGGCTTTGCAGAAATGGTAACACTGTACTAACAGGTTAAGATCATTTGAGTCAAGACCTCAAGCTACTTGCTTTACCAGATGAAACTGACACTATATGAAATCATAGCACACTCACCTCATATGACAGCTCATATTACATAATGACAATGGCTTATCATTTGGTTCTAATCTGAACCAAATTAAATATTTTCCAAAGCAGATAGATCCTTACATATCAAAAGCACATTCAACAAGTACACTTTTCTTATTTACCTGTAGCCAAGTGAACTGGCACTCAGGCCAACAAGGCTCAACCTGAATAACACACATGTAACTCAGTTCAAATTTAAGCAAAGAAACACCCTCACCACAGTGAAACAGTGGCTACTGAAATTAGTAAATCAGTTAGGTACCTAACAAGACAATAATTATTTTCTTTTTTTTTTTTTTTTCTTGTAAGCAGCAGCCAGAAAAGCTCACTAAAAATAAATATTTATTTTTCCATAAATCTCAGATAAATCCATTTTTCCATTACATCCAAACTTACCCTTGCGTAGTGCAATTCAACTCCATAAAGTTCTAAGGTACGTGCTGTATTGAGATAATTGAACTCTGCTTCTGCAGGTGACAGCCCTCTGAAAGAGAGAAGCTAAATCAGAAACATCCTAACATAACCCCCCATGAGGCTCCCTAGCGAGCTCAAACAGAAAACCTGCATTCATTTTACTACTTCTACTCCCACCCTGAAATCTAAGTTTCCTTCTCACCATAAACAGACTGTAACCCAGAAATTTTAAAACAAAAACCTTGTGCTTCCATAGAGACAATGTCTTAACAAGAGTCCACAACACAGCTTGCAAATGCACGTTTTACTTCTAATGGACTGTACCATTTAAACGTCTATGGAGCTCTAGAATCTGGAAATTATTTTTGCAGTCCTGTATTTTGTATTGGTAACAACTATTTCTCTCCAAGGTTCACCCTTACATTACCATCAAGTCACTTTAATTTCTTTACCATATCTAACAGAAATTGCTAAGACATTGACTGAAATGTAACATAACATTCAGTACTTTCTAAGGCAAAACCATGCCCCAATTAAGCAAATGTTTTTGTAAACACAGTTAAATTTAACAAAATGTAAGCTATAACAAAAAGCACTTAAGATCTAAAACACCAAGGAACCATCACTGAAAAAGTACCACAATGTTACACATTGAAAAAAAAAATATTTTCCATTGCTTCATTGCCTTTTCCTCTTCAGTTAAAGGTCACAGACTTGCACACAGGAAAGAGCAGATATTGAAGAAAAGGACTTTGTTACTTCTAAAGTAACTCTTGTTTACTGGTGAGAGCACCATGAAAACAAACCCTTTATGCACAGAGCATTCTCAAAGACTGAAAAAAACTCTTAAAGAAATTATATTCTGCTAAGTTAATATCCTAACACACAAATACTGGTTTCAGTGTACCTTTAACATGTTCATTTTTTCACTTTTCCCTGTCATTCTGTCATAGATATTCTATCAGTGCTGAGTATCAATGGTACTTACTATACAGACAATCTACCAAAAAAAAAAAAAAATCACATTAAATGTACTGTTACAAAAAAAACAACAAAAAAAACCCCAGAAACCTTTAAGGCAAAATACTCAGTTTTTATATAATAGCACAGCACCAGCAGTCAGGATTTGACAAAGTCAGTCAATATCTTCTGCTGTAAATCCTTACATGTGCTGCTGATGTAATTTTGCTATTTCTTTTTCAAAGTCTTGAGGCTGGCTAGGGATGAAAGAATAGTCTGAGAGGTAGCCTGGCAAGTTTTCTGAATGGTTGTAGTCTCCCAGCTCGGCTAAAATATTAAAAAGAGAGGTTATTGTTTATCACTGATGTACTTGGCATTGTGCAATGCCCCCAAATTCACAAGAGTCTGCTCCCACATACTTTACAGCAAACAAAAATAGAGAAGACATTTGAACTCCCCTTTTCCCTTTTGAATAAACAGTCACATTCCCAGTGAACACTGTGGAAATCGTTTAAAAAGAGCTTTGACTAGGTACTTATGAAGTCTATAAAGCATTTAATTTTAAATACACAAATTAATTAATAAATGCTGTCATAATGGCTAGCACTAAATAATACACTTCAAGGTATTTGATTATTTTACCTTTGCTTGCTTTCCTGTGATTACACAATATATCTATTTGTAACACTACAACTCCTATTTCTTCATTTAGCATCTGCAAAAAAACCACCAACTCATTCTGTACCAATAAATATTCAGAAGCATTAGAAAAATATTTTTTGTACATTCAATTGTATGTACACGTACATATACCTACACCGAAACTACTTCACTTGAAACTACTAAAAAGGGGATTTGCATAATTGCTAACACTTTCTTAAAATTATACTAAATAAATTAAAATCACATTTATTGTCAGAATAAAAAACATATAAACAACACTTCCTAAAAATACAGGCTTTGAGGATTTCTAACTCCAATAAAAAAAAAAAATTAGCTTTAACTATCTCCAATCACGTAACAGATCTACAGTGCCAGATAAATAACATCACATGGGAAACGTGGGGTCCTGGGCGGGCCTACTGACACTCCTATGGGGCATGGAAGAATGGACAAGAGGGATGAAGGAGCTCATGCAGGTCAGGGATAAGCAAGGGAGGGGAAGGTAGGAAAGTTGTCTGGGGCACTCACATCGCGAGAAACCGATCCTATTTTGAATAATTTAAAAATTGGAAAATGGGATCAGGTTTCATAACAGAGTGCATGCCTTGCTAAAAACCACCACAGAGAATAGAGGACTGTCTGAGATCTACCTCTGCTATCTACATGTATTTATAAAGAATCCCAAGAGCTAAAACCAGGGAGTTTAGTGACAGGCATGCACAGAAAATTATTAGACAGAGGACTACATACTGAAGAATTTAAGTGCAACAGAATTTCTTATATAAATGGAACTACAATGCACTGCGCATACCCACCACTTCTACAATATTTGAAAAATAAACATACCGCATTCTGAAAAGCTTAAAATGTTACAAACTTTTCAAAGTGCTTGCTTCATTATCAAACACTTCATCTCTTACAAGACAAATCCCTAAGGCATGACAGCACTTGCAGTACATCTCTATTTCCAAGTAGCTGGAGTTTGGGAGTTTTGTTTAACAGAAATTGCTCTATTGATCGATCTGGAAAAAGATGACCACCCACCAAACTATGTATAAAACATTACATTAACATTACTACACATTTTTTCCCTGAAAAGGTTAACATGAACGCTATTTCTCCAGTACTATGTACAAAGTATACATAGTACTAAATGTAGATGTAAGGATCTTTCAGAAAAACACCAATAGAGAGGGATATATCAGGATTGCTTATAGAACTGAATTTCTGAAAAATTACAGATTTCAAGAACTAAGTGCTGAACAGTCCCTTAGATGGTTGGTTGTTGTGAGTTTTTTTTCACTGAACAATTTAAATTTAAGAAGGAAAATGGAGAGAGGAGAAGAGGACTTGATCTCAGAGTCTTCAAAACTTATCTGCTCAATGGATGCCTTAAAATTGCCAACACTGGTATTGAACTTTTTGGCCAGATATGACCGGAATTCCCTTCTCCACAACTATCTGGAGGTTCACTTTATGGTAGGTTAAAAATGTTTAAGTATCTAAAAAAATGTTTTAGTATCACTGTCAAGAAAAAAAAACCACAAAACAACCCCACACTTCAGAATGCAGAGAAATAGAAGAGGGTTGTTCTGAGGGGTTTTTTTTTTGGTTGGTTGGTTTTTGGTTTTTTTGGGTTTTTTTAACTGCCTGGGTTTGAAGAGGGAAAGCAGAGTATTTTTTCCATATCTAGTTCAGCAAAACATGCTGGGGGAGACCAATCAACCAACCATATTTCCTTAACAATGAGAAAAGTAGCATCATGTCCACAAACATCACAATACAATGCCATACAAACTACATTGTTTGGAAACTAATCAATGCTACTTTTTATACATTTCAGTACTAACATGTACATGAATACTAATTATACTTACATTGAACAGCATAGGAAGCCAGAAGAGCAGCAGTATTATAAGGACAGGGCAATCTGTTTTGTTTTGGTTTTAAAATGAGAAATAAAAAAAATTACATTTTTCATATGAAATTTGCTTATTTTGAAAAGCCTAATCTTTCGCATTCTATGCACAAATTGGACAGATAAATAGTATAAACACTTCTACTTGCATAAGCAGTAATTTATTTTAAATACATTTTTATTTTTGCAGGTAAAATCCCTCACTATTAACTTTCTCAATCAAAGTTGCATTTAATGTTCAAGACAACAAAAATGCCTTACCTTCCAGTAAGAATGTCCTGTTTAATTTGCAAAAAATACTGGTACCTTATTTAAAGAAACAAACAAAAAACACTATAATTAAAAATAAAATTATGTAAGCATTTTCCACCAATTTAATGCATTTTGCTTTCAGTTAGTGTAAAACTAAAACTTTATATTTTGCAAGCTATCTTTTAAACTCCTACAGGAAAGAAATTAAACCGTGATTAGTAAAATAATAATACAACCTTGTAACTTAAACTAGTTACAGGGTATGAAGTTACACATTATATTTCACTAAAAGGCTGCAAATTTCACATTCTAAATGATTTTATTTTCCAGTATTTATGTTGAACATGAAGTCTAAAAAAAAAGGAACAAAGTGCCTTCATGATGAATGAATGTGAACAGGACTATTCAGTATGGCAACCACAAGTTGAAGTTTGCATTTGTGTATGGAGGTACCTCAATAAGAATGATTTGTACTCCACATAGATAAAATGAATTTATTCTCATTGAGCATTTGTTATTACTCTGTTTTCATTTAAATTAATTACTCTTAGTATTTTTGAGTTACATTCTTAAATAAAAGCTGTGGATTCTATTATGTCCAAGGCCTTCCAACTGACTTCCCTTGAACTCCTGAAGTTTTAATTATCATGTGAGAAAAGCTTGTTTTAGAAAATCATCTAGTTTTCCCATGTCCACTCTTTCAAATCAGGAAGGAGATGGAACAGCAAAAGGAAAAGATTAACACTTTAAAACAAGAACTATTTCGCACCAAACAGTGGCAGCAGAAACACTAGGACTCAAAAACCACCAAACAAACCTGAAACCGCAACATATTTCCCTCTAAATTACTTTGTTTCTCCCAAAAAACCAAAATATTTTGTTAATATCTCAGAATGAATGTTTAGCTCATTCATTTTAGTTCCTTCTTATTTCACTCAAAGGTTTTAGATATTTTCAAAGTATAAATGTTGATATTAAGTGGCAAATCACACCTGCTATAAACCTCCACTGAGACAGATCGAACTGGGGCAACAAACAAGACTTCCTGAGACTGCAGAATGTCAGCAAAAACTTAAAGCAAAAACCCCTTATAACAGAGCACAAAAGCAGGTGTAGCATTTAGGCTCTAATGCCTTTTTATTTTAAAAAAAAAGGTTGTACCGAGTACAAAATTTAAACATAATTCGTGCTTTCTTATAAATGTATTCTGTTTTGGGACCTCCTACATTATTATTATTATTATAAAAAAGATCATCTGGTTTCCATCTTGTAGTTGATTCGAGAGTAGAGTGTAAGCCATACTAATTCATTATAAACACCCATCAAAATTATTAAAAATACTTAGTTCAAGTTTGACTGAAACCAAACATTAAATATTTGCCAACATATTAACTTGCACTAAGAAATTGAAAATAAAATATATCACTTTATTACACGTAATATGATTTCTCATAATTGTATAGTCTTCAGAAAGTGGATTAACTACCACTTTAAAGACTTCCACAAACATTTACAAATGCACACACAGAAATCCAATCATTTACAAGATAAATACAGCAGAAAGGTAAAGCATTCCACATTTGAAAGAAAATGACGGAAAACACTTGCAAACTGACAAGCAAAGATGTTAGCCCACTGTTCCACTCCCACAAAACCATCTAGAGGTTCTTTAACTGACCAGAATGGCAAGAAGCTTAGTTTAAGGTATTAACCTCAAGATTTTATGACTGAGACAGTAGCCAGGACGTAGAGACCTCAAAATACTTTTCTGTTTTCCACTTTAAAATGTATATTGAAACCAAAAAAAAGTGACAGATAAAGCAAAATTTCTTTACCTCTTAAAAAAATGTAATAAATAAAAAGTTAGATTTATATATTAAAAGGATATGCTTCACATGCTTAGCTTGAGCATCTCTTCACAAATATACTAAACAGATCAAGTTTTCCTATTTTTCCTGTTAACATTTATAGCTGCAAAAATGTAGGATCAAAACATTCCCTAAGTGCAGCTGCACCTTCATTTTATTTTACTTTTTTTGGTGTAATGCTTTATTTGAAATATTCCATGGTACTTAAGGGTCCTCATGATTAAGGAACACCAAGTAGAGTTCATTTTCTGTCCCCTGTTTTCAGCTAACAGTGAAGGCTTGTTAGCTAAGCACCCCCATTTGAACACCGAAGCCTCGCATATTATTAAGAAAAATGAGGACTCAATAGAAGCTTTAGGAATGTAGATCTGAAAAAGCCTGCACACCAAATTCAGCTAAAACAATGAAGGCGACATTGTACTACAGTGTTTTCATCTCCCTTATATAGCTATGTCTAGAAAAGGGTAAGACAGCACTATTGCTAACTGGACTCAACGTTAATAAGCATGTCTTTCTGCCAAAACCAGAACTAATGAAGCTTCATTTCCTACCAAGACAAGTTCCTAAAGCTAAAATCTCCAAAACAAAGTGAGCTCCCACTGACCTTTCCTGACCCAGGGCATTGATAACCTGCCTCCCTCACACAAATGCAGAAGTCTAACAGGACAGAAGCTTGCACTGAACCTTTCCCATCTATTCATACTGCCTCATATGTCTACTCATACCTCTGTTTTCATAAAATTTACGAAAATTGAGCATCTTTGAAAAGTCTCAGCTCAAGCTGGAATTGTCAGAAGTTCATGCTTTGTTTCTTTTCTTTTTTTTATAAGGGAATACCAATTACACAAAAGGACCCCATATTTGTGACACAGCATCCTAATTTCACCCCAAAAAACCCCACAGATAACAACTCTCTTCTATAATGATTCCAAATACAAAAGAGTTTTCTCAGGGGCAATTAGGCCTATTAGCAAAAAAGGCAGATCTGACCCAGATAAAGCAATCATACATTACTTTTCATCTAAAAGGATGCTGTACTTATACCTTTTAATTAACAGCATAACATTTAAAGTAAACAGTTCTCCCTTCTCTTTACTTCACAATGAACAACATTTACTGTTTTTCCCATCTCCTTAGGACAATCTTACATATTGCCCTTTAACTCAAACAACACATTTTTCATTATTCTGATGTAGCAAATTGCCAAATTTTCTATGGTAAATATTTCAATAAAGCAAAGTCTGATCCAGGACCTCTGGGACTTATTTTAGTAAATTCCCTCTGCGTAGATGTTTGCAAAATTTTGTCCAAAATATGACAAACCAAAAGAAATCATAAACAAATGTGGACTCAAATTTTCACAGTTTTGGTACTTGTGTTTCTAAAGCTATCCTTAACAATTTAAATATCGTTTTTCGAATGGGGCTGACCTGTTTTCAGAATGGCTGACATCCAAAAATTCCACTGTCAAATCATGCCACTTACGTAGAGGACCACAACTCATTAAGAATACTGAAAATTTGAGACATTACTTCAGAGACTAATTGCAACTCACAAGCCTCCTATCTGGATTCACACTGAGCTTAAATTTGCATTTGTTGGTGAACAGTGGGATTAAGTTTTTCCTCTCTTCACTATTTTCTCTTTTCTGTTCCTACTTGGTAGTATTTTATTCATGTAGTTACTTCACTTTGCATATAAATTTGTAAACTTATTCACAGAGGCTTTTTGTTACACAGATTTGGTGCAACTGCATGGTTCATATCTGTAATTATTAGGCAAAAATTAGAAGCTTGCACATGACACAAAAATTATTTAAAAAACAACTTCCATGTTATACCTTAAAAAAAAATTATAGTTTTCTCCTTAAACATAAGCTTTCTAGAAAAAGAAATAAATTAGACCTACCTTGTATATTCTTCTTGGAGCTTGTTTGGGTCACCTACAAAAAACTTAACTCTGAAGTTCAAACTGTGAGGTGATCCTCCTACGGTCAAGAAAAGTTATTTCTATTAATCAAGGTACCCTGGAAAAATAGCATAATAATGATACATGAATTGACCAAATACATACATGTACTCACTTTTTAATTGTTTCCTGATAGGTTTATTTGGATCCAACCACCTCTGGAAAGAGACAAATTATAATACCATATTTAGAAAATAAAAAAAAATACAAATTATAGCCTTACATGTCAAGAAACTGTTGCTTTTCTCTTACTTTTTACTTGGTCTTTTACCAAAAGGTCTTACTGGCATACAAAGTCTTGTTACTGATTCTGGAAAGACACCAACATTATCATCAACAATTGCTATCGTTCTTCCTCCCCTGAGATTAACCTACGTTGTCCAGATATGTCTCTTGCAGTGCTAATTTGACTATGACTTGGCTCTATGATTGTCACATGAGCCGGAGAGGTTAGAACTCATTACGGCGTGTTTAACACTTTTCAGCTACTCTTTGAACTGATTATCTAAGGTGAACAAACTGTGGCAGTGAAGAGCTATAAGCAAGCTAATTTATGCAATTCAGAAGTTAATTTGCTTAAACTAGTTCCCCTGCTTTTGACTCTGCATTTGACTCTCACATCCAGGGGGCAATCCCACTGGCTCACAGATTCTCTTCAAATTGTCAGCCTGAGCGCCATCTCTGGTAAACCACTAACTGGGATTTCGAAAACCAGAGGCTCAGCACTCAGCCTGCTGGATTAAGAACTACAGAACAATTTTAGCAAATAGCCACCGTCTTGATCATCTCTACAGGAGAATGCTGCTGTGGGGAAGTAGAGACAGATCTTTATAAAAATCAACACTGCAAATTCCAAACAGAAGTATGGTTCTTGGGAAAGCCCTACAAGTTGTTTAAACCACTCCCCATCGGCAACCCAGCAGACTCTGTGTGTACCAACATAGCTCAGCTAACTCTTAAGTCTATCTTTGTTGTAAATACACTTTGATTCCTCATCCCGCCTTGCAGTGCAAGCCCACAAGCCTCAGGAAACAGTGATGTGACCACAATTGCTATGAAGTGACAGAGACTTAACATTGTACAGCATGTAACCACCTCACATTTATCACAGGGCTTTTTTTTTCAGGTGAGGGAAGAGGAAGCAAACACACAGAGGTACCTGAACTACCTAACACACACTATGGATCTGAAGTTAGTTCTGAGTCATTTTATTCATTGGGAATAACAAATAATGATGACTACATCCAAATGCTGTATGCTTGTAGTAGACGACTTGAGAGGAACTGAAGAGATCGTTTGATACAACTTAAAGAGGGTCTTAAGTAAAAAAAACACACCTTACACGAGATAAATTAACTTTTAAGACTAAATGTAAAGGCTTAAGAAAGGACTCTCCAACCAGGGATACACATGAATTTTATACAAGACTCTTTCAAAACATCCAACATATCTGATAAATGCACAGAGCTGACTGACAACCCTCAGGGTTTTTTTTTTTTGGTTGGTTCGTTTTTTTGGGGGGGAAGTACCATTTGAGATTACAGTTAAGTAATAAATTTTTGATCCCATCACTGTGACACACAATTGGGTAAAGGACTGTATTATAAGGAATAATACTCAGTTAAATTGCACTTTAAAACAAGTATTGAACATTTGATACCTATAAAAATATTCAAGGAGTATTCTTGAAGCAATCACGATCTCAGCAGTACAGCTGTAACTACTACAGACACTGAATGTTACAGCTGGAGCTCTTAGATTCTACTGGTGATTTACAAAGTTCTGTGGATTTTCCTTCCAACAAAAGCACATGAACTATTATAAACACTCAGTTTCAAAGGAGTCTCTTTCTTTTTCCATTAAGGTGATGACAGCCCTTGTCAAATAGTGGACTATATGAAGCACCATTAAAAGACCTATCAGGTATCTATACTAGAACCAAAAATACCATACAGGCCAATCTAAAAAACCCTAATTTTTTTGAGAGTCCTAATGAAAAAGAAATTTAAAAAAATTAAAAATAGTTACTATTCTTATCCCAACTGACAATGATCATGCAGACAAGTAAACAGTTACAATAAAACAAGCAATATCCTTTTAAGGTATATTTGTAAGGATAGATCTCAACATTTTACTCCAAACTTGTAACTACTAACATTTAGTCTTATTGTAACTACAAGGTGATACTGACCCACTCAAATGACACAGTTGGAGATGGCAAAATACTGTAATGGCTTCTATTTACTTCTCTTAAAAATGACACAGAGCACAGTGATGAACTTGATAATGATTTATAAAATCGTACTTATAGAACAGTGTCAACTTACAGGATTATCAGTAGATTCATCAGCCAACTGTAAACCAAAGTAATCTCTCTCTGTCAAATCGAGATGCTTGAAGACTACATCCAACAGAACTTGTCCCTGATCATGTTTCTGCAGAGAACAAATACATGTATTGTTTAATGAACAAATATGTAACTGAACACACAGACTTCAGGCAGGCAGAGCAGATACACATTCCTTCAGATGTGCTCTAGCAGCCTAAAGTTTACATATCACTAAGTGTATCCCAGGAATATTATTTTTAAACAAGCTTCATCTCTCTTTCCAAAACACATGCACGGAATCATTACTTTTCCTCTTTGTAATTTTCTGACTGTAAAAATTTCTCACTTCTCAGCTAGCTACATGATTATTCCCGAAAGCCACTAATTAGCCAAATTTTATATTTAAAAGGAATACCGAAAAAAAGAAAAAAAGGCTAGGATTTGACAAATTTGTAGCCTTGCTTGGGTCACTGAATTTAAAAGTACAGGTCTGTACAAGTTATTCTTTCTTACTTTATCTGAAAATCTATTCCTCAATCTAAATGAACCAGCATATTGAAAATGTTTCCAAAGTTAAATGGCATAGACAGCTGAAGCAGCCACATATCTGAGAAGTGTCATTTAAACGTGCTCTCTCAAAGATACTACTTCACTCTAAATGAACCAATTCTTACAGTAACATTGCTTTTCAGAGACAGGTGAACAAACTTGATTTCTACTACAGGGACAAATCTTACCCACAAAATGATATAAAAAGAATCTGTAGTTATTGGTACCTAGCTATTTTTTGCCTAATCCAAAAATCCTGTAAATACAGTAACTGAAACACTGTGTGCACCATTATGACAGGACTCAGTAAGTACATTTAGTGCAATCTGAAGGGAGTTTCCCAAAGAAGTTAAAGTCTCATAACTTCTTGAAGTACAAAAGATAAGGAAAAATTCTGCAAGAACAACTGTCAAACAACAACAAAAAAAAAACACAAGAGAGATGATTCATACATTTTCCACCCAGATTTTCTACTTCTCTGGCACGAAGTAAGCTTCTAATAATCTTCTAGGCGCCAAGTATTATTGACACTACAGTGGATTTGATACATCTTGCCTTGTTTACTGTAGGCAGTAAGATATTTTGAACGTTTTAAAACAAAGAAAACCTGCTGTTCTGCTCCCACATCATCTCACTTCTCATAGAAATTATACAGCAGTTTACAGCTGTTAAAACAGAAATAGGTAACTCAAAGGTCAAAAGAATGCTGCAAGAATTTCATTAATATCCATATATGAGAAAAATATACAAATTGCATTCAGACATTTGTTAACATGAAAGAGCATCCAAAACTTATTTTTGTTCAGCTGAAATTACACTTAAGCTGAGTAAACTGTCAAAACCATTTACTGGGGGCTATTATCTCCAAGCAGCTTGATAATTTATGTCATAATAATAAAGAAATTAGAAAATAGTTATCAACAAATTACACTTGAAATGATCCCAGCAGGACAATCATAACTGCAGCTCTGCATATTCAAGTTGAAATTACATAAGGCATATATTTCAGGCCCAAAATAAATTTGGCAAAGTTAAAGTGATCTAAGAATTGCTATATTTACTTTGAAAGAACATCTTGGTTTTTTTTAAAAAAAAAAACCCTACAGAGAAAATTTCTTGATGTCTTAACGAAATGAATGGCCAGTAGGAGCACCATTGTTAAAAAGTTCACTACTTACTTTCCAATAACTAAAAGCAAGAAAAAAAACCCAAACCATTAACACAAAAAATACACAACAGTCTTAATTCATAAGGCAACTTTACTGTGCAATTCAAAAATAGTCACTTTCATTTTAACTACATTAGGAGTTTCTTATATACTTTGAAATAAACCAGTAATCACTACAATTTTTTTTCAGCAAATAAAACTAATTTTTAAATTACATATCAGCACTAATTGCTTCTTGGCATTTTTCCCCATGGAGATTTAAATCAGAACTCAAACTGAGAACTTACTACAGTAACTATCAGAAAACAGGAGACATCTGGAACCCAAGTTTAGCTTTACATTTACCACAGCTGACATGTTCTTCAAATAATATGCAGATATCAATATCGTAGCTTTTCTCCCCATCTAAACCTGATAATTTATACTGTTTCTTAAATACGTGAAAAGATGTTTCCTAATGAAAGAATTTAGAACTTGCTGATCAGTTTGAATTTAGTAATACAGAATGTCATTTCATGACCGCAAGGAAGGTATTTCTCCTGTAAGAGAGCAGCAAATTTGGTAAGAGAAGACTAGTTTCAACATGAAGCATTTGTTTTGATCACAATGTTTTACTCTCAGTGCAAAATAAAGATAAGCATCTAGTAAAACCAGACCTCAGTTTAACCCGTCTCTGATATTTATATAATGATGTTGCAGCTTGCCAGAGCAGGTGAAGGTCACAATCCTGCTTGTTGTGAAAGGTCCAAAATATTTGTAATACTATCATAACCATTGAATAGTTGCTCTAAATTATAAGAAGATAACAAGCTTCTACTTCTGTGGGGCTTTTTAAAATAAGAAAGCAAAAACAATAAATATGGATTAGCAAAGAAAGAAATGTGCTTTATTCCTACAAACATTAATATTTCCTCTTAAGACTGTGAATAATGGAAAAACATGAAAAAATGAGAACTATCTAACATAAAACTGCATTAGTTAGATACAAAACATATCAACATTTTTTCTGAATTGGAATATTAGAATGTTATGCATACTTCTTACTAGTCATTGCTGGAGGCAAAATGTCCAACAAATTTTGGCCTTTCAGAACCAATTTGCTATCAGCACTAGACACCAATATATTAACTGCACTTTATGAAGTATCTATCATTTAGTGGCTAACATCTAGTACCACTAGATATTTACACATTAATTTCTAATAGCAAAATGGTTCTTAGCTGTTTACAAACACATGTTTGAAAATGTAGGG